GTTGTTCACGAAGCGCAGAACATAAGCCATTATTCCCAGTATTTTGTTTAAATTTCCGTACAGTTCAAGATTTAGTAACGGTTCTGTAGATTCCACAAGTGTTTTCAAAGTAACACATTTTCGTTCTTCACTAACGTTTTGCAAGTCAGCTTCGGTATTCATTTCGTTTATGTGATGTCGAATATCTACTTCTGAAAGCCAGGGTGGCCCAGAAAACCAATCACTATCATTAATTAGAGCTTCAGCATTCCATCCCCTCGTAAGTTTATCAGCAGGGTTTGTCTTCCCACTGCAAAAGTACCAGTTGTTTAAAATTGTTTTCTCCTTGATTTCTACCACACGATTTCTAACAAATTGTTTCCACTCGTTGGCAGATCCCTTGATCCAGTGAATGCAAATTTGGGAATCAGTCCAGTAAAATATATTTCCCTTATCCAACTGCGGAAATATCGATTGCAAATACGAACCTAATCTTGCAGAAATTAATGTTCCCAAAATTCAAGCCTAGGGAGTGTTACCCTTTTTAATGGAGCCAAACGGGATTTCGACACTATGAAACTTGTTTTACATTATTTTTTCTTCTTAAATCTAAAATATGCTACGGCACCATAACACTTGGGACTGGCATCAGAAAATATGTGAACTTCTATAAACTTCCAACACATATCACTGAAGTACTGTCTGGGAATTTCGAAAAACTTTATTTTTTCAACTTCCTTTAACCATTCCTGAAATATGAATTCTGTATCAAGGGGAACATTTTCGTCCCATTGAATACCCTTTTCCCACATAGTTTGCATTAAGAGTTTAATTCGAACAGTAAATGGATTCATAATTCCCAAGGGATCAAAGAGCATACCACATGCTGCTAAAATGATGCGTTTAGTTACTTTGAGATTTTGTAACTTCTCAAACTGAGATACATCTATTTTCAAATTATCATTGACATTGTCCCAGATAAGACCCTAAAACCTTTCAACGGTACCAAAGAGGTCTTCAGATGTTTCACGAGAGTCAATTCCATTAAGTTTCCATAGTTCATTCAGCTCCAGGGGAGTTTGAAACCCATCTACGTAAATTCATACTGGCCTCGCTAAGAATGAAAATCATGTCCTTGCTTAAATGTAAGGCCTTTGCTACATTAACTGTATTATGTTAATTTTATTAACAGTTAAATCATCTACGTAAAGCTCTTTTAACATACTGCATGCCTCTTCGTAGGCATCTTCATACTTTTTTAAATGAAGTCTTACTGTAGCTGTTAATAAATAAGGTGAGCACTTGACCCCGAAAGGAACTCGATTGTGTTGAAGAACTTGTAAGTTGGAATTACTGTGATCGAGATTTGACCCTTCTTCATTTATCCACAAAAACTTTAAAAAATCCCTATCTTCTTTAGCTAAGCCTACCTCTAAAAATGCACGCTGAATGTCGGCACAAAACGCAATTGAATGTACCCTGAATTTAATGATAATCTTTAGCAAATCAGGATTTAAATTAGGTCCGCTTTCCGAACAATCATTAAGTGATAAATTTCCCTTACTTTTAGAAGAAGCGTCAAAAACTATTCGAACTTTGTAGAATCCTTCTGCTCGCGCACTACCGCGTGATGAGGCATGTAATACCCCGTTTTCAAAACTACTATTTAAATACGTATCTACCCGTTCCACTATACCATCTCTCAAGTGGTTCATTAATTATCTCATTATATTTTAAATATAGCTCGCTATTTTTCTGAAATTTATTATTTAAAAATTGTAAACGCTGTTTCGCGATTTCATAATTGTTATTTAAAACCTTCAACACCCTCTTTCCACAATAATCGAGTTTCATACCTTTTATTCTTGTAAGTTGTATTTCGTTCAAATGACTCTAAAATTTCTTTATCTGATAGAGATATTTCTTTATCCGAACTTATCCCAATTGCTTCTAATTCCCATAATTTTTTAACAAAACTCTTTCATAATCTAAGTCCTCATTTACAACGGTTATATGATTAACTCTTGCGTCCTTACACTTTGATCCTTCGTCCTTGCCTTGAATCACAAAACCAAAAGTGCTTTCTGTTGCGACTAATTTTTTACAAATCTTCACGTTTCGTTCTCCTAAAATTTCCCAAATATAATCCGAACCTATTAATACTTGAATTTCGTTCACTCGTACCAGCATCTGCTAATTCTATATACCCTTCTCAAACGCCTATCTTTCGTATCCACCGAGAAGGAACTTTTACTTGCCCTAGTGTTATAGAATCAATGACTATTGCGTTAATTTTTTATCTTTTTTATTGGGATGGTTTACATTTTGCAATACGATTTCTACGATATCATACAAGCGCAATTTTACTTCTTTGCATCCAAATGTGAAAATAATAAGCGCTTCTTTATTAATAATTTTCAACCCCAGTGAATCAACCACTTCTCGTAAGATGAATGACTTTGTTGACCCTGAATCTAGCATACAACGTAATATCTTTTCGTTCCCCCCTTTACACCTAACTGCTGCCGAAAACGTCTGTAAAAGAACGGAAGTCGGTAGTTTAATTTTGTTATTATTTTCATTACATAAGAGCGAAAGAGAAGCTTCAGGGATTGGCGTTTGTTTTGTCTGATTGGAAGTATCCGTCTCTAAATCTTTCGATGCGGCGTCAACTATTAACGAATTATGTAAACCTTGGACATTGCACAGTCTGCATTTTTCATCTTTATGAGCACAGAACGCCTGGATGCCCTTTTTCGAAAAGCAAATAAAACATAAACCTCGATTCATTAAAGCCTTTCGGCGAGCCTTTAAATCAAGTGCGCAATCATGATTCATGTGACAAGCAGATAAACAAAATATGCAGACATTTTGATTCTCTTTCTTAGGCGGGGTAGAGAACTTTCGATTTTGATTAAAATGCGATTTTTGAAAGTATTTAGAGGGAGTTTCGCTTTGACTAGTTAATACTGAAGCACCTTTCTTATTCGTACTGTAATCATTTCTTTTAGAATGCATGTAAGATTTATTTTGATAACCTTCATGGGAACTTTTGTTTCGTATTGATGTTTCATTTACATCAAAATTCTTAGAACGCGCTAACATCATTGATGTTTCCCTACATTCCACTTCAGTTTCAAGAACGTTGTTAGTAGTTCATTAACATCGAAATTTTGTTTATCACTTCTTTTCCTAGTGAATTCTAGAGTTAAATTCTCGGGTATTAACTTTAACAAATAGGGGATATAAATGTCCATAAGAACCACTAGTAACATTTAAAGAATTTAAATTCCTTATTTGTATTTCTATATCGTCATAAAGCTTCCTCAAAGAAGCCGTATTTCCGGAATATTTTACAGGTTCTAAACTCAACAATTTATTCATATGCGCATTAATTAGCAGGTCATCTCTCTCTGCCGAAACGGTTTTTTAGTATATCACAGCCACCGTATAGTTTCACTAGTAAAAGTTAATCCACTAATAGCATTTAAAGCTAAACCTCCCAAAAGCGATTTTAAATAACAAAACTTGTCAACCGAACTGAGACTTTCGTTTTGGTGAATGGAATTACTAAACTGATTCCAGAATTCAAGCCAAGAACAAGGATCACCGTAATATTTTGTAATCGTTAATTTTGGCAATTTTAAAGTATTAACTTCACAATTTTTCAACTTCGGAGATATAGTTTCCTCACTAGAATTTCTAGATTCAACTTTTTCAAGTAACATTTCGAGTAATTCTTTTAATTTCTCATCCGCGGTTTCACCCTCTTCTAACAATGCAGAATCTATTTTACTCATCAACTTAGTAGTCAAGCTACGCGTCACCGTTCGCAACTTCTTTGCCTTATTCATAGCCTCCATTTTACCATTAGATTCTATCAACTATAATAATCACCAAGATTTTTATTCAACAATTCTATTCAAAACTGGAAAAATGAAAAAGGGCCCTACCTCGAATTTCTTCGCAGTTAATCCTCCCAGCTTTTCAGTCATGAACTCACTAATTTTCTTTTCTTCGTCCATTCTTCATCTCCACAAATCAAGTCCGGTGTCACCAAAAAAATGTACGTATCCAAATGATCAGAAGGTTGTTGATGCTTGTTCCTTGATCTATTGCACCAAGATATTTTTACTGTACATTTATTTACAATTTTTTTATAAGTCGTATGCCACCTGGCATGTTTACAAGCGTTATGCCTCTGGCATGTACATGATAGACATATTCTGCCACCTGGCATGTGAATTGATACATCATATTAGTTTTCTGCCACCTGACAGATACGATGCAATTACCTCAATTAGCGGTAATACGCCCGACATTTTGACGTGTCCGCTTCCCTTACGTTCTGTAACGCAACTAACTTTTTGTGCGGTGCGCCCTCTGGGCACAAATCACCGCAATCACCGAGGAGGCCAAAACACAGCTAATTAATTAATGTGCTTCCGCACTTTAAGTTTAATTAAGCGGTAAAACCCGCACTTAATGGGATATCAGTTATCTTTCGTCCATTTCAGTAAACTCAGAATAGTGGTTAAAAAAAGGGGGGGAAGAAGAAACGAACTTTAAGTTTCCATACATGTTTTAATGGAAATTAATCATTTATATCTTTAACTCAGGCATTTCTTTAATAGAAGTTCAATACGCATTTTCAGCTGCTGCAGATTTTAATAAAGAATGTTTTTTTCTTGTTATATAATAATGCATGAAATATGGTAAAGTAATTGCATTAATTAACTTTTTTAAAATATTTTTTCTAGCCTCTGTTTATCTCAATCATTTTCTGAAATATTTTTTCTTCGAGTAGCAAAGGATATTAATAAATATGGTATTTTCAGATTTTTTAGTTTAACAAAATGGTAGTAATTGCTTTGTATAAAGCTTTCAAATTATAAAGTTGCTTTGATGTTTCTGAATATAATATATTCTGGTAATACACTCAATGTTTGTGATATCCAATGCACTCAGTGTGACTCAATGTTCCTGATATCCTTTTCCTTGACATGCTATAATGATGACAGGCCTTTCTTCTCCAGGGTCTCCTACGGATCCTTACCTGGAATTGGAAGGGAGGAGACTTGTGCATCAGGCAACTGTCACTGTTCGAGAACCACAAAGATTGTCTCTCCACTGTGTTGTCTCAGGGGCTATACCACCTGTTCGACGTATTCACTGGTCAATAGGTAAGTTCTTTCCACTCTTTCTTACAAGAAAAGCTATCAAAAATGTTCAGGAGCGATCAGATTAATAAACAAAACAGTAGGCATGCATTCTCTTTGGCATGCCCAAGAACAGCGAGGATAGCTGGGGTTCGCTTCCGCATTATTTGCAGTCATAGATTTGGGAACATAACGGACATGGAAAATTTGAGGCATTCTATCGTCAAATAGATATTATGTATATATAATTAAGTTTCGCATGTTACGCTTGGCATGATAATGAAACGTATTCGAGGCTAACTGTTAGTATGGATTTGTGTTTATCTCACAGGGTAAACAATTCCCTTGTAAAGAGCTTTTCAAGTGTACGTTGAAACCAGGTAATCTGCTGGGTATTTCCGTCCTACACTTTGTGACTAATCCAAAACCATTTATTTTGGTGTTCACGCTGGATTATAAACCATTCATTTATGTAATTGTGCGACAAAATTATTACTCTGCAACGTTACTTGTTAGCGATGAAACACATACATGTTCTGCATCACACTACTCTAGCAAGAGTTACTTCCGTATGATTCATATGCCATCCTCTAGGAATGCGCTTAATCACACAGTGGTCTTTCATCTCATAGATATGTAAAGTGCTTCCAAAAGGTCTAGAAGCTGAGCTCTAGTTCAGTTACCAGAATTTATAGACAATGCTATTAATTCAGAAGTCAAACAACTTGTCAGAAAATTGTGTCTTAACAATGTTATTAGTCACAGACGAATCTTGGATTGCTTATGCAGCTATATCGTGCAATATTGTTTAGTTCAGTTTAGTTATTTGACTGCTACATACGCATTTTTGTGACTGTTTTCCCAACATCTGTTCCACGTGTGAAAAAGGCTTTACGGGTATTCCATTGAGAGTTTAACCATGCCGTAAATAGGTTGATTAAAGAGACACCGCAAAATTTCTTTGAGAATTACTTTAAAAAATTTGTTTTTCGTTGAGATAAACATATTCAATTAAATAAGGAATATGTTGAAAATCCGTATTATAATATTTGTGAAAACTGACGAAATAAAAATTCATACCTAAATTCCTAGAAATTTGGAAATATCCCTCGTATACCAATTTGCTAATTTATGGCGGCAAACATTGAAAGGGAAAGGCGCTAACTTTGTGCAATCTGTTATTGGAGTTGCGAGTGATTACAAAATGCCACACTTTGAAAATGGTGTTTTCTATACATGCTTCATCTCTCCTGAAAATTTTATGGCGATTGTTGTCAAGATATCGGATAACTTTCATTGTCAGAAAATTTGTTGCATACATTTTATATATTATCAATAAATACTCCTCTGTGAAAAACGAAATGATACACTACTAATGTAATTCTGAATATAAAGTAATAATAGATCATATAAAGTAAGAAAAATTATGTGTTCTTATTCCAAAACTGTCATAAACTCGACGATTTCTTGCAGTTAATCAGTTCTATCCAAATTCTTTCAGTCCCTTTATCTAGTATCCTTACTCTTATGAATCATCCAAACTAAATACTCTGAAAGTTAAAAAAACAGTGTTTCTTGAAAATAATCTGGTATAAAAATACGTAGATTTTACATACTCTTTCTTATCTTACGACAAAAAAATCTTAATGTCTCAGTTAATTGTAAACACTTGTCTAGCATTATATAAAGGGCCGGATTTAGGCTTGATTAGACCCTAAACTATTTGAGATATGGGACCCTTTATAAGTCTAGATATTATATGTCAGTGCAAATATGATTTTCAGATACCTAGAGGGTTAAAGTGAAATACAATTGAGAAGTATATAGATAGTGAAATAATAAATCTTTAACTTAAAATCATTTTTAAAAGTCAGGAGTATTGTATCGAATATTGTATGCAAACCCTAGGCACAATAACGTTTCGTTCTTCGAACCGACGCGCTAAAATATAAATATTTGAGTGAAGAGTATGGGACGTTCCGGACATGCGGCACTGGTACAAATAATGCAGTGTATTTAAGTATATATGACTGTTGCTCACTCATATAATTTTTAGGGGCCCCAAGAAAATGAGGACGCTAATGTATAGCTTGTGTAGCTTATACGTAAATCCTGCACTGATTATTTGTATCTGCAGACGATTTGTATTCTTTATTAAATTTATTTGGCACAAAAGAAATCTTTTAGTAATTTGTATTCGAAATCTAAGCGTTATTTTACCTGAAATTCTAAGCAATGCTTTGCGCAAGAGCTGTTTAGAGGAATAGAAGCACCTTCAAAGACCTTGTTCTGTATTAACTAATTAATTTTTATTTTAAGAATCTTTTCCTTCCCTTTTGATTTCCTGATCCTGACAGAATGCAAATTTAAATGACGTGTATTCAACTCTCAATGAGTTCAGAAGTAGTATTTAAATACCAGAATTTAAGAGTTAGTAGTACAAGAGTTAGTTACGAATAGAGCGGGTTATTCCGAGAACGAGTTACGCCGCGTGTTTGCACGTAGCTCTGTAGCTGAATATTTGTGCTACCATTTACTTAAAATTATATTGCTAATTCTAGATTCGGGTTTGCTGTATGGAGTTGATAAAGCGGATTTAGATTGAAGCAGGAGCTATTCGTGTAGTTGAAATTTAATTCTGATTGTACATAATACACTCAATTTAATTCTGTACTAAAATTTAATTTAATTGTACTAATTACTGAAATTTAATTCTGATTGTACTAATATCCATAAATTAAGGATAATGCAAAATCAGGCAAAGGAAGATTTAAAAGCAAACTAAATTTGACTTATTTGTATAGCTTATTTATTAAACAAAAGGTAAAGAGCAAAAAAAGATGCTATATGTTTGATATTATTAAAATTTAGCAATTTTTCTCCCTGAAGCAAATTACAAAAAAAAACCTATTTACAAAAAAAACAAATATTACATGGTTGGTATGATTGTTAATACATTGTTTGTCTCCCAGACGATGCAATACAGCCCGTACAACGCCTAGGTATGCTGAGTATCAAATTATCGATCTGATCTTGGGGGATATTACACCACTCAAAAAGAAATGCTCTCCGAAGTTCCGGTAGACATGTAGACGGAGGTTGACGGGCTGCAACTCGTTGGCCAAGCATGTCCCACACCTGCTCTACTGCATTCAAGTCCGGTGAGAATGCTGGTCAGTCCATACGGGTGATATCCTCCGATTGAAGGCATTCGCTTACGATGTTTGCCCGGTGAGGACGGGCGTTCTCATCCATAAACACAAATTGTGTGCCCATGGTGCCCCGAAACAAACGTACATGTTGTTCCAGAATGACGTCCCGAGAGATTTGGCTTGCCATGGTTCCAATTTGAACATGAAGGTCAGTTCTGGAACCCAGAATAATTGCACCCCAAACGAGCACTCCTGCACCACCGTAACGGTGTCGTTCAATGATGTTTCCTTGGTGATAACGGGTACCTGGAGCTCTCCATATGAAAGTCCGGCGAGAATCAGACTGCAAGCTAAACCTGGACTTGTCGGAAAACATCACACAAGCCCACTGTTGCGGTGTCCACAATCCATGCTCTCTACTCCAGGCTAACCGCAGGCGACAGTGAGTTGCAGTAAGTGGAACGCATTTGACAGGTCTACGAGCATATAGACCAATCTGCCCTAAGCGTCTGTACACGGTCTGCCTTGAAATTGTCGTGCCAGTGGCTGAAGAGAGCTGACGAGACAGGTCTGAGGCTGTGCTCCGCCTGTTTCTTTTGGCAGTAACTTCCAAATGCCGGTCCTCATTCTTCGTTGTAACTCTGGGGCGACCTGTGCTGTAACGTCTACTCACATTACCATCATCTTGGAATCGTTGCCAAAGCCTGGAGATGACACTCTGGGCAATTCCAAGTTCGTCTGATACTTCCAGTTGGGTACGCCCACATTCCAGACGGCCGATAATTGTACCACGTAAAAAATCATACAAATGCGTCGTTTGTGTCATAACTATTCGGTTATTGCACTGAAATGCTTATAAAGCGCCTGCAAACAATTTTACTTCTTTGCCTGTATTCCTTATATATCACTCTCTTACACTCTCGTCATTGTGACTTACCATCGGTGTCATCTGGTTGCTTCCTGAAATTTGCATATGATTTTTGAAGATGTGTGTAGTGATTTTACAGGTGATATATTTATTTTAGAGTTCGATTCCCGCGTGACTCCGAATTATCCTTAATTTATGGACATGAGTGGATTTTTTGTTTAAGTTACTCAGCCACAAGTGGTGGTTAGTTGTAAGTACCGAGTGTGTGCATGTTCTGTTCAGTTAGTTAAAATGAAAAGGTTGCTATAACATTCGTCGGCAGTCGTCTGGTTTTCAAGACATAGTGAGAATTCGCTATCTCGTCTTCAGTAGGGTCTACATTTTTATGTTCCCAAAAAGAGTAAGGCTCTTCACACCAAGAACGATTTGATCGAAACTGTAAATCGAACAGAACAGGCTCAGTTTAATAGTGAGTTCGGATATGATCGCGTTCACAGATCGGGGTAATGACTTTAAACAGATTTAATATGGCTATCTATAGAAAGTCAACCTATGTAGATTAAATACTTATCTACAACTCTCTCAGCCGGCATTACGCATGGTAGCTTAGGCCCATCCTTCTACCAGTTATATTCCGGACGTCATGCAGGTTCAAAAATAATTGGCGTTTGTTAAAAAATGTGTGAGACATAAGCAGTGGCATTTCCCTGCTAGAATATAAACCCAGGATTGTTCTGTAACGATGGTTACAGAACTATCTTGGGTTCTAACGTTTTTTGGTTCCCACACTCAAAGAATGTAAGACACGTATAACGTTTACGAACACAAAACGCAATTGGCAGCTTTTTTAGAAACACTTTTCTACTGAACGGCAAGTTTAAAACAGCACTGTTTAATTGTGATGACACAAAGATTCAATTTGACGCTGTGTTTGCGTAGGTCAACTAATCGATTTGCATAAAGCTACCAACACTTTTATGACGACACTGTTAAGAAATTCTTGC